CGCCTGGGCCGCCGCCTCCTGTCGGCCGCCGCCACCCAGGCCGTGCCGGCCCCCAACCAGCAGCCCGAGGTCTTCTACAACCAGGTCAGGCCGCCGGCCCGCGCTTTGTTCTGTCCGGGGGACCCGCCGGCTAGGAAGGCCCTGGGCCTCAGTTTACCCAGCTGGGGCTCGAGGGATTGGTGCGGTTGGTCTTTCCGCACTCCTTCCCTTCCGGCGAGCATTTTGGCCCCTTCGCCGCCTCCGTCAGCCGCGGGTCCGTTATCCAGCTGTGACTTTGGCCACTTATGCGTCCTCGGCCTCCGCGCGTTTTCCAGCGCCAGCTCTCGGGGTTCCATTCTCCCCCGGAGCGTCCTCGGCTTTCGTGCCCTTTTAGGCGCCTCCGTGTCTGCGCAGAGTCTTCACCATCACCCACCGAGAGGACGCGTCTATCCAAATCCCTCTTTGCAGGCACTTTCCCGTCTTTTCTTTCTTTTACCCTTTGACTCATGTTTTTGTCCAAGGAAGTCTAAAAGGAAGACAAAGAAGGAGGGGTCCTTTTTGGCTACGGTTCTCCAGTTCCCTGAGGGAGAGGCCAAGGCCAGTCGGCTGCTTCTGCTGCTGGGAATTGGGCAGGGGTGGGGGGACCTTCCTCTGGGGCGCAGTCCCCAAGTGGTGTCCGCGTCTCACAAGGAGCTGGCATTCTTTGACCAAAGCAAGGAAGGCCTTTCCAGGATGACGCTGATTCCCAGTGGCCGATTTCTTGCTTAACCAGGACTTAGGAATGTTCTCTTTTGATCTTTGAGTAAAGTACTCAAATTCACAGAGAAGGAAATTGGTTAGGAAAGAGCTTCTTTTGTTTGTGCAACAAGTATCGTTGCGGGTCGGCCCCGTGGCTTAGCGGTCAAGTGCGCGCGCTCCGCTGCTGGCGGCCTGCGTTCGGATCCGGGGCGCTCACCGATGCACCGCTTGTCCGGCCATGCTGAGGCCGCGTCCCACATACAGTAACTAGAAGCAGCTATGACATACAACTATCTACTGGGGTTTTGGGGGGAAAATAAATAAATAAAGTTAAAAAAAAAAGTCAGCTGATTAGCTTTAAAAAAAAAGAGTTCATTGGTGCTGGATGAGGTGAGGCTAGGATTGCACTTCATAGATTGGTTTGGGATTCTGTCATCAGGCAAAAGGCTGGACTTGTGGTTCATTGATTGGTTAGCGATTCGGTCATCAGCAAAGTCCAGTTTCATCAGTCCTTGCAAACAAGTTATTCTTGTCCTTACTGTCTTCCTGTAATGTTGGTGGTTTGGTCCAATTTGAGGATTCGGAAAACAAGGCAACTCCTCTGAATGGCTGCTCTGGCTCTATTTTAACGTGGCTCCACTCATGTCATCTTTCACACTGAAGATGGGTCTCACTGAACAGTAAAATATTCTTCGTAGATATTTGGATTATCTTTCTAAGTCAGCACATTCGGATCTGATTTATTCTTCCCGAGGTCTGTAAAGCATTCCACCGTGCTGGAACTGGCTCCTCTGACAGCTCTTTGGGCTGTTTTCAGTGTTGCATTATTGCAAACCCTGTGGGCAAGAATGCCAAGGTTTAATCCTAAAACTTTGAGTCTCTTACCAGGGGCTCTAGGTACAAAATAGATCACATACCTGGACATTTCCCTGGGAGTTATTGTTTCCTTGAAGTTCAGTGAACTGTGCTGGAGTCTGGAACTGTTGGCACAGGCTTTGAAGTTGCGTCTGAGCCGCTGGCTCTTCCTGCCGGAGGGCTTTTGGGGGAATGCAGCTCTTCAAGCTTGTTGGGTCTCACCTGGATGGGGGCGAGGACAGGCAATAGGTCTTCTCCTTCCCCCTCTATTTCTTAACTCAAAAGAGGAAGAGTGGGTGGTTTGGCCCACCTTCCTGGGGTCCTCTTGTGTCTACTTGTCCTGGGTGGGACTGCAAGGTGGTGCCAACTTCTTGGCTAGTTAAGGAGGTTTTAGGAGGAGTTCTTCCCTGATTCATCAGCAGGGACCCGACAGGGGAGCTGAAGACGGCCAGGCTTCCTGAAGACCAATATTGCTCATCCTTGGTGGGTTTCAGGGACACACCTCTGTCAATAAAACTGATTTTCATTTTTCATTCTGCTTTTCTTCCCTGACTTGGAGAGTACTTAAGATCTAGAAAGACAACTCAAAGGAAAACCCGCGGGACTGAGGTCTCAGCAGCGTGACCCCTCTGGATGGCTCACTTCCACCTTCAGCAGCATCACCACTTCATGTTGGTAGATAATAATAATAAGACAAGAATATTGTTAGACACCATTTCGCCCTCTGGCCTCAGACTGCCTGCCGCTCACTAGTATCAGCTTGGGCAGGTTCATTCATTCAACAGACATGTCCTCAGCACCCTCAGTTCCAACGAACAGACAAGAATTGCTGCCCGTGGGAAGCTTCATCCAGGAAAGTGGAGACAGACAGACAAGTGAAATGGGTAGTTTGGTGCAAGGTGGTCCGTGCTATGGAGAAAAATTAGGGAAGAGGGGATATGGAGGGAGTACGATGACTTAACTCTACCTCAGCTGCCACGTCTGTAAAATGGGGGAAAACCCTGTCTTTGTTATAGGGTTGCTGTGAAGTGGGGTCATCCTTGTAGAGCCCTCAGCAAGTGCCTGATTCATGGCTCTGTATTTACTGCAGCCTTAAATAAGAGCGGGGATGGCAATGGTGCTGTTGAGCTTACAAGATAATGGTGATACAACTCCATTTTATGTGGGTGCTGTTGTAGTTGTAATTTGTTTCCTGAAGGGATGAGCTAGGTTGTGAATGGGAGTTTGGGGTGAATTAAATTTTTGTCTTTATTCTTAGCCTCTTGGCCCCAACACTCAGGAACTGAAGAGAGAACTGACGAAAAGGGCAATAAGAAAGGATCTCCCGATATAGAATTTTCTGATTACAACAGTAATACATCCTCAGTACAAAAAGTCAAGCATTCCAGAAGTCTGTGAGGTAGAAACTCACCGGAAATACACATAGGCGCGCACAGATGTTCATTGCCTCCTACTTTATATTAGCAAAAACCTAGGAAACAAGCCAGCTTGCCTTCCATGGGGAAACAGATGAACAACATATGTTACAGGGATAGGAAGGAAGAATGCTATGCAGGCAGTAGTTACAAGGAATTAGCTGGAGATGTGTGAATGATGGATCTCGAAAACAGTGTTTCAGGGGAGAAAACGTCCAGCACTCTGCCTGATATGAAACTAATTAAAACTACTCAACACGAACTTTCCATTGAATGTGGATAGATATACCTCCCCGTAAAATGTATAAAAAATGTTCTGGAAGAGAAATGCACGTTGGCGTGAGGGTGGTCAATGCCCGGGCGGGGCTGCATAGGGAATCTGCTTGTGGGTAGTGATTAAACGGGACTTTGGCTTTATTTAAATGTTTTATTTCTTTAAAAGTAAGTAACCTGTAAGCAAATATAAAAAGAAAGGGACAGTCCTCCGATAATCCACCCCTGCTGGTAATCCTGCTAGCAGGTAGTATATACAGAGCAGGAGTTTGATTTTGCTTGTTTTTCTCAGGAGATTCTTACAGAATGAGCCAAAACCTCTGTTGGGCTAAGTGGTGGGTTGGGGTGGCTGTGTGCTGAGTGAGTCAAGTGAAATGTCCCCATACTGATGCCACTGGCTTTATTGCCTGATTAGGAGTTTTAAGATCCTTGGTAGAAATAGTAGATTCAGGCAACCCAGAGAATCTGAGGGTTCACTGGCCCTACCTGGGTTACTTCTGCTTCTAACAACAGTTGATTATCAGGGAATACCAATGCCGTTCAGTACCTCCTGCCCGCCCAGAATCTCTGGGAACACGCTGAGTTACAGGTGACTGGGTTATAAGGACGTTTGTGGTATTGAGACCAGGTGTGTTGTTGTGGACATGCATATGTACCCCGATCCAATGATCATGGTAATTGATCACTTATGATCAATCGGGCCTGTGCTGAGGACCTCTCCCTACATTTTCACCTTGCACCCTACCAACAACTCTGTAAGCCAGGTCTTGTGCTGTCCTATTTTACAGATGAAGAAACCAAGGCTCAGGGAGGTCACATTAAGTAGCAAGTATGAAACCATGGTTCAGACAGCTCTGTCCGACTCTAACATGCCCTTAGCCACATGCTGTGCTGCCTCATGATCAGGCCCACTGGTCAGACAAAGAGGTAAATATTTAAGGGACAATTGAATCGAATATTTGGAATCAGAAGGGAGGAGCTGTGTTTGTGTTCACATTTGTATTCCTACCACTGAGATCGGGATATAATCGCTGCTCAGTAAATAATTGTTGAAGGCATGAATGGTTGCCATTTATGAAACTATGTTTACAATTTTGTGCTCCTGTAGCAGGAATGGGAACCCAGTATTTCCACTCAAAGGGCCTTTTTGTGAAAAACTGGGGAGTTAACTGAACAGGAATGTGGGGACACGCAGGGAGTGCTGAAGTTGGCCAGGGGAAACGATTGCAGCAAGAGAGAGGTTGCCAAAACATAAGCCCATAGGCACACTGACATATTGAAACTGCCCGCCTGGCAAACAGTCTACAGTAGAATTCCACTGTGCCATCTTGGAAGTGGTGAAAATACAGGAATGCAGAGCAAACAAAGGCCCTGGGGCGTGGGGAGAGGTGGGGAGGGCTGGGGTCAGGTGCCACGATGTCTCCAGCAAGTCTGGGGGAGGTGGCTGCCCTTGGCCTTAACCCCAAACTAACCCCAAGGTTTCTAGATGATTGTGTGGAAAAGTGTGAATGTGTGTAGCATTCCATGTTCATCTTGAACTTTTCTCCTTGGGATCTTGTATTATGAAAGATAGCACCTGCTTTCTATCTGACAGAAGTTACCTGCTGCCACAGAAAAAGCCAGTGCCAGCAGGAGTCACCCCAGGATAGAAACCCACAGCTATTTGCTCACTCACCCTTGTCGAAAATAACATATTCCAGGGATGTGGATTTCCCAGGTAACAGAGTCCTAATTCTTTCACGTATCAAAGCTTGAACTAAAATCTTCCTAGAATGGAAGGAATTTAAGGAAGAATACTTCCTTAAATCGGAGCTACTGAACGTCATTTAACCTTTTATTGGAAACCTTGGGCAGATCATGACTGTCTGCTGCCACGGAGTGGAGGTGGCACTAGAATATGGCTCTGTCCTCACCTGGGTCAGGCCTCCTCCAGGCGTCCTGCTGTCACGCTCACAGCTCTGCTGTCCCTGTCCCTAGCTTCGTAGCCACCCGGCCAAGTGTCTATTTACAGTTCATAATCCACCAGGGCGTGGAAAACAAGATACCCAAGGCAGCCAAAGATCATGTTATCCTGTAACTCAGCAAGTCTAATTTTTATATGGGAATCTGCCCCAAGTTTGCCATGGTGCGTGTCAGGGGTGGTTTGCTGCAGCAGCTCTGTCGGGAAGAGGGAAAGCTCATCCTAAAAGTGCGTTGTAGGAAATGGTTACATAAACTGTGGTCAGTTCGCATGGAGGAATGCTGCGTTGCTTAAAGTAACGAGGTGGGGGGCTGACCCCATGTCTTAGCGGTTAAGTGCGCGTGCTCATCTACTGGCGGCCCGGGTTCGGATCCCGGGCGAGCGCCGACCCACGGCTTCTCCGGCCATGCTGAGGCCGCGTCCCATATACAGCAACTAGAAGGCTGTGCAGCTATGACATACAACTATCTACTGGGGCTTCGTGGAAGAGAAAAAGGAGGAGGATTGGCAATAGATGTTAGCTCAGAGCTGGTCTTCCTCAGCAAAAAGAGGAGGATTAGCATGGATGTTAGCTCAGGGCTGATCTCCC